AGCTGATTTTTTGCTTTGCAGTGGTTCGAGAATGCAGCTCACCACCACCTTCTCAAGAGTAATTAGGGATGGGCAATAAATTCTGACCCATCCAGCGACTAACATGACATCCATGAGTGGATAAAAAAATCTCATGTTCAGATGCTCTATCAGAGAAAATGAAGAGATATAGAAATGAGAGACACACAAGGGATTTCTGAACTCCTACAGTGTCTGCACATTAGTGTATTATAGCCATTGAAAAATAGTTAGGACCAGTTTTTCCTTTTTGTTGTGCATGCAGAGCACTTAGTATTCTGATGAACATTGATGATGCATTGCTGTTATTATTTGGAAACTTGATTCTAAAGTGGAGAAATTATGGGAAGCACTGCGCTTGAAGGCAAAGCCATTTTTACTTTACTGTGCTCTCTGGGTGGTACATGAGCGAAGAAACTCCACAGAGGCCAGTATCCTGTCACCAAGTCACCCTTTATTTACACGTGGAAAGTCCTTACACTGACCCAGCTCCCTCAGAGCCAGCTCTCAGAATGACAGGATGTCTGACACTTCTGTTTATATCTGTCAGCCACGACTCCCTGATTAGACCAGATTAATAGCCCCAATCAGGGAACTCCTATTCTATGAGGTCCACCTGGCCGACCTCATTACAATCACTACAAGGAGTATCTGAACATTTGTTGATTTCATGAGAATTTGTAGCCTTAGAGTCTCAGAGCTTGTGCTGAACGGTACAGTATAAGAGTAAAAAGGCTCCTGTTGCCTCCTGTTGTGTTGAGATCAAGTATCACAGAGTGACAGAACCACCCAGAAGGTCAGGCAGTGTGTGCAGATTCGGTCTCCAAAACAGCTAAGGCTGGGGACAAAAGTTGTGAGTGGCCGAGAAAACAATTCCAGAAGCAGAAAAATGCTGGAAGCTACATTATGGAAAACCCATGTGTTTGCTCTGAAAGTGTTTAGAAGCCAGTAAGAAGAAAGCTCCAGAAAAATGGCAACTGAACAAGAAACTGTTAACTGGAGGGTTTGAGCTATAAGGAGAGGCTGAATAGGCTGGGGCTATTTTTCCTGGAGCATTGGAGGTGGAGGGGCATGGGTAGGGTGAATTGCCAAAGTCTTTTCCCCATGGTAGGGAAGTTCAAAACTAGAGGGCATAAGGTTAAGGTGAGAGGGAAAAGATTTAAAAGAGACCTAAGGGCAACATTTGCATGCAGTGGGTGGTGCGTGTATGGAATGAGCTGCCAGAGGCAGTGGTGGAGGTGGGTAGAATTACAACATTTAAAAGGCATCTGGATAGGTATTTGAATAGGAAGGGTTTAGAGGGATATGGCTGAATGCTGGCAAATGGGTCTAGATGTTTAGTCGGCAAGGATGAGTTGGATTGAAGGCTCTGTTTCCATGTTGTACATCTCTAAGACTCTAAAGGGTGATCTTTCACTGATTTTTCAGTGTTTCTAAATTTATTGCTGAGGTTAAATGGGTTTAAACATTCTTTCTGACATTTGTCATGAAATGTTGCAAATTATTCTTGATTAGTATAACATAATGTTTTTTCCTCCCCTTTCTGCATAAGAAACCTGATGCAGTTTCGTTCAAAGTGCATTGGCAGGTTCTTGTGGATATATTCAGTGAAAGACTACCACAGTAAACAAAGATTGGAATAAAATGTACGACCTATCAAGCCAGATCTCACTGTGGGATCTGACTTGTCTAGTATAACCATCAGCTGGGATTCTAAAAGTATCGGGAAGAGAAAGTGGGATCTGATGGTGGGCTGAGCACCTGCCTTATTTTACATGTTCCTTACATGTGGTCAAACAAGTGAACCTGCATCAATAAAATTCACTCCAATGATTTTGTATGTATCCTATAGCTTACCAGGATTATTGAAGAACAGGCATGGTCAGATTTACAATTAGGACTTAGCTGTCGGTTGAACACCGCAACCATCTGGACTGTTTTGTATAGGTTGGCTTTTCCTCTCTTATTGTGACAAAAAAAGTGTAAAGTTTGCTTTGTCAGTCTCGGTTCAGTGGTAATGATGGTGTTTCCATCATGGAAGGGATAGATATGAAGGGATATGGATCAAACATGGGCAAATGGGACTAGTTTCAATTGTGAAAATTGGGCAGCATGAAAAAGTTGGGCTAAAGGGCCCCTTTCTATGCTGTAGACCTTTATGACTCTAAGTAAGAATAAGATTTGCTACATACCCGCACAGAATTAAAGATTGTAAGTGGCCTGTGACAATAATTGTTATAGATGATAGAAATCTCACGCTCAGGTGTTATTTGAAGAAAAACATCACTCTCAGTTTATAGATGTCACTAACAAAGTTGAACATTTATTGTGCGTTGCTGGTTGCCCTTGAGATGTTATTGGTGAGCCCCATAGAGATGGTACCCCCACAGGAACTTAAGGGAGAATGTTCCAGGCACAATGTTGGGATGCCCATTTCTATTCATGCCAGGGTGATGTGTGACAGTGTGCACCTATTAGAGGAGCTGATGACCTCATGCACCAGCTGTCCTTTCCCAACTAATCGATACACTCCCATGCTCAACAATGGGGCAACTCAGACCATCAGAGCAAGAGATAAGGCAGAAACGGTTGCAACAATCTTCAGCCAGAAGTGTCAAGTGAGTGATCCAACAGTAGCCCTCACTCCAGAGGACCCCAGCATCACTGATGCCAGGCTTCAACCAATTCAATTCACTTCATGTGATAGCAAGAAGTGGCTGAAGACATTGGAGACTGCAAAGGCTATGGGCACTGACAGTTCACCAGCAACAGTACAGAAGACCTTTGCTCTAGATCTAGTTGTGTTCCCTAGGCAAGCTATACCTAGTACGGCCACAGTGCTGGCATTTACCTGACAATGTGGAAAATTGCCCAGGACTCTTCTGCGTGCAAAAAGCAGGACATGTCCAATTTGACCAATTACTAACCAATCAGTCTACTATCAATCACCAGCAAATTGATTGAAAGGGTTGTTGGCAGGGCTATCAAGCAACACTTGCAAAGGAATAAACAGCATATTGATGCTCAGTTTGAGTTTGGCCAGGATCTTTTAGCTCCTGATCTCATGACAACCTTGTTCCAAACATGGACAAAAGATTTAAGATGTAGAAGTGAAATGACAGTGACTGCCATCAAGGCAGATTTAGAGCATTCAAGACCCCAAACAAAATTGAAACTTTTTTTTATCATTCTTTCATGGAATGTGGGCATCACTGATTGGATCAGCATTTATTGCCCATCCTTAATTGCCCTTGAACTGAGCGGCATGCATTTCTGAGGGTTATCAGACCATCAGAGCAAGAGATAAGGCTAAAACAGTTGCAACAATCTTCAGCCAAAAGTGTCAAGTGAGTGATCCAACTAGCCCTCACTCCAGAGATCTGTTAAGAATCAACCAAGTTGCTGTGGGTCTGGAGTAGGTGTAGGCCAGACTAGGTAAGGATGGCAGATTTCCTTTCCTAAAAGATATTAGTGAACCAGATGGGTATTTATGGCAATTGACAGGGGTTACATAGTAATTGTTAGGCTAGCTTTTAGTTCCATATTTCTGTTGAATTCAAATTTCATAAGGTTGTCCCCAGAACATTAGCTTGGCACTCTGGGTTGCTAGTTAAGTGACCATAAGACTATGCCACTATCGCCCCTAAGTTAATGGGAATCAGTGGGAAAACTCTGATGGTTTGAGTCATCCACAGGACAAAGATAGATGGCTGTGTTTGTTGGAGGTCAGTCATCACAGCCACAAAACACCATTACATAGAGTTCCTCAGGGCAGTGTTCTTGGTTCAACACTTTGAGCTGTTTCATCAGTGACCTTTCCTCTACCGTAAGGTCAAAAATGGGGGATGCTCTGTGATGATTGCTCAGTGTTCAACATCACTTGTGATTCCTCAGATACGAAAGCAGTCCATATCCATTTTCAGCTAGACCTGGACAACATTCAGGCTTGGGTTGATAAATAGTAAGTGATTTTGGAGCCACACAAGTGTCAGATAATTACCATCTCTAACAAGAGAGAATCTAATCATTGCTCTTTGATGTTCAATGACATTGCCATCAATGAATCCCCCACTTTCAAGATCCTGTGGGTTACTATTGAAAAGAAAGAACAACTCTCAAGAAGCTTGACACTATCCAGCCCACTTGATTTTGTACCCAGCCAACACCTTTAACATTCTCTTCATTTACCACATGCTCGCAGCAGCAGTAGTGTCTACCATCTACAAGATACATTGCTGAAATTCACCAAGAATCCTTTGCCTGCACCTTCCAAACCTGAACTTATACCATATAAAAGGACAGGGACTGAAGATGCAGGAAGACCTCCAGTTGCACATGGCCCTTTAACCTTGTCACCATCCTGACTTGGAAATGTATATCCTTCCCTATCACTGCGTCAACATCCTGCAACCTTCTTGCCAACACAGCAGTACCAATCCCCGTGAACTGTACTATTTCAAGGAGGTAGCTCACCACCGCAGGGCAGTTAGGAATAGGCAATCAAAGCTGGCCAATGACAGCTACATCCCAGGAACAAATAATAAAAATCAGTGGAGATTGTGAAGTTTGAGAGGTGTTGTTGGATTGAGGGGTGATTAAAGAAGCTTTTCTCACTGTAAAATCCATCTTGTTTAAACTTTGGAAATGTTCAGTGACTGATAGCATATGAGCACAGTGGAAAATGGATTTAATTCCGAGCCCAGATACTTGCACACCTCATTGACCAGAAATCAGTGGGGCCGAGTGTAGTGAGAAACATCATGAACTGAATTCGAGGAAATTTGGAGCAAAAGATATTTGCCATTGCATTTGTTCTCCAACTTGTATGCATTCTCACGTTGTATGTTTCAATGATAATTTGAGTCACTTCTTTGAGTAATGCCATTACAGCTGCAGTTTTTCAACGTTAGTTTTCCCAAATAAATAACGTCCCTTCTATTTTCTCTCTGTTTCCACCCCCCACCTCCCCTTGATCCATGCAGCCAGGGAAGACAACTCTGCAACATTCCGAGGATCTGAGTACTTCTGTTACGACCTATCCCAGAACCCTATCCAGAGCAGCAGCGATGAGATCACTTTGTCCTTCAAGACCTGGCAGCGGAACGGACTGATCCTGCACACAGGGAAGTCAGCCGACTATGTAAACTTAGCACTGAAAGATGGAGCTGTTTCACTAGTCATTAACCTGGGATCTGGCGCTTTTGAGGCGTTGGTTGAACCAGTAAATGGGAAGTTTAATGACAACGCCTGGCATGATGTCAAAGTGACACGCAATCTGCGACAGGTAATAGTGGAGGCGGATGCTAACTCTGCTATAACAAAAAAAAACAAAACCAAAAAGAAAAGAATAGGCAGGATGAGGAACATTGCAACGAGCTGGTCATGTTCACGTTAAAACAAAACAACATGCTGGTCGCAGCTAATCTGTTTATTTTTCCCCACCTCACACCAACCCCTCCAACCTTTTCCTCCTCCCTTGAGAGAAAAAAAAACTGCTGGTGGTTTGTTTTGTAACCCTTCAAGCCTACTTTCTTATGTTACATTTTCCGTTTTTTTCAAAAAATATTCATTCCCAATTTAGTTTGTTCAGTGTCCTAATCCTTAGAACTACTGGTGGCTTTAATTTATTTATTCGGTATTTTGTTTCCTTGGTTCTGCTTTCGCTTTGATTCCTGCACCCGTTTTTTTCCAATTATTTTGGTGTTCTGTGATACATTCTCTTATTATTTGTTAATTTCGTTGATTTCACCATTTTCATTGACTTACTAGTAAGGTTTAGTTTTTTGGGCTAGTATGCTGGAATATGTGTAAACTCTAGCATTCTGTGTGGCTGGCTGAAATTCTTTTCTCTTTTTTTTATTTCCTGTGTATGTGAGAGATGATTTTAGCTCAGATTAGCGCACTAATTGCCCTTGTGTTGACCCTTTTACTTCATTCTTTGCTTCCTTAAGCAGACATCTCTGTCAGGGGCCCATGACTTTTCTTGATGGCTTTGGAAGACTGAATACTCCTGTTAATAGTAACTTCACCCTGTAAAGGTCCCAGGACTAGTAACTGATATGACTTCTGCAGCAGCGCTTCAAGATCTCAAGCCCGTTTATTATTACTGCATGGCAGTGTTGCTGTTGAACTTTAAAGGAGAGTCAGTACTTGTGTTTCTTTCCAATGGTTAAATGTAGGATGTTCTTGTTTTTCTCTTCCTCGAGTGTCTCTGATGATACATTTGGATGTTGTGTTGCCTCTCCAAAAAAAAACTTGGTGCAGTCAGAAAGGGGTGGGGGCTGGGGGGAGAGGTTTGCTATTTGCCTTTAAGTAACTGGTAGAATTGTTGAAGGGAGGAATGTTGTAATAAAATAAGCCTTAATATCTTCCAAAAGAACCCACTGCCCACTAAGATTCATATTGGATTCACATTAAAGATGACTCAGTGACAACAACCAATAAAGCAAAATTAGTTTCAGGACCCACTTCATGAAAGTTTGGCTTAATTGCAGTAATGGTAATGCTTGTGACTGGGTGTATGAAAATAAGCTTCCTTTCCTTACTTCAAAAAACAAAACAAAACAAAAAGTCACTGTGTCATAGTCAAGTAATTGAAAAAAAAAGCTATTGAGAACCTTTTTACTCGTTTTTTGGTCTGCTTTGGTCCTGTAGAATTTGTTTGCACCTCTATATGTCAATGACACGCTTTAAAAAGAAAAACTAACACTGATCATTCATGGAATGTGTCATTTTACTAACCGTTACCTAACCAACTAATGTACTAACACCCTAATTATCATCATGTTTTATTTTAAGTAACAATCGTTCTGTTCACAATTTTTAATTTCCTTTCTTCCCCTTTTCCGCAAAGCACTCAGGCATTGGACACGCTATGGTAAACAAACTACATTGTCTGGTAGATATCATTCTTATTGTCTCTTTTTTTGGGTTTGCCGTGTGTTCCCCTCTTCCCCTCCTCCTTTTTCTTTTGTTCATTGTCGACACCTTTACAATGAGGAAATGGGGTTGGTATTTCACTGCTTATTTCAGTCACTTTTTTTCTCTTTTTTTTCCCTTTTTTTCCGTTTTTGTTTCCTTCCCACCACGACTAGTTTGCTTTGTTTGTTTTCCAGTTTCTCTCCTTTTTTTTTCTCTTTACTCTACCAAGTACTTAGTTCAGACCATCGTAGGGCCTTTAGCTGAAAGAACGAGCCTCTGCACCTCTTTGCGGTGGCTGTTGACTAACTGGCAGGAGTCCAGACATCCTAAGAGTGGGCTCTGCCAGTTTCTTTCTCTACATAGTGCATGGCATGACCAAATTCGACCTTCAGTGTGACCGGAAAAAAGAAAACCCAGACAATCAAGCTCCATCCAACATCTTGCCTTCTAACCTTTTTCCACTAACATGTCTATTCTTAACTTTTCCCCCACCTCCTCACCCCTACACACCATTCCTTCCCCACTCCCCCATCACATACACACCACAATCCCCACCCCCATGTGTTTATCTGCATGCAAGTAGAAGCGATGCTGCTGTAGTTCACTTTCGCGATCCATGGCTTCAGTTTTTTTTCTGCATGAGAGTGTTGAGTTTTGACAAGTGCATGTTTTCCTTTGGGTTTCCTCTCGCTTTCCTTTTCTTTGCATTTTCTTTTCGAGAAGTTATTTTTCTTAAGAACGAGGTGATGCAGCTGCTCACAGTGATGAAGTTGGTGACTTTTTCATGATTGAGCTTTGACTCATGTCATGCGCATTCATGCTGTGGACGGTAAGAGCTCTCTCCTGATGCATGCTTGTCAGTGTTCAAATGATAATAAAGTGGGGAATAAAGTTTATTTTTCAAAGAAAATCTTTTATTTTTTTCAACTGAATTTTTTTTTAATTCTCCAACTCAAGCTTTATTTTTTTTAAAGAAATGAATTGGCACAAAAGTGGATAGTTCCATTTTCTCGCCTGCATTGTCACCCCGCTCCACTTGTTAAAAGTAAAAAGCTCAGAACTCTTGGATTCAGTGAGATGAGCCAAGAAGCATGGGCAAACTAGATGAAAGAATCTCCGACACTGCAACCATGCCATTGTGCAAACACAGACCAGAAAATGGGACTTCCCCAGTATTAACTCAAGAAACGCAAACCTGAAATAAGCACAAAAAAAAATAAATTGAGAAACACAGGCAGGTGCCAGGCAGCACAATGTGTAAAGGTCACTCTTGGCCGTTTTCTTCGTTATATCCTTTGACTAGGTTACCATTTCGGTGGATGGCATCCTCACTACCACAGGTTACACCCAAGAAGACTACACCATGTTGGGGTCTGACGATTTTTTCTATGTCGGTGGAAGTCCAAGTACAGCAGATCTACCTGGATCCCCTGTCAGCAACAACTTCATGGGATGCCTCAGAGAGGTAGGGCCTGTTGCTGTCAATTTGTTATGCACTTATGGTTTGAACATTGTGTACTTAACTAAATTAATCACAAACAGGCAGATGATTATCTGGTGTTTATGCTCCACCTCATTGTTTAGCTTCCCATTAAATGCGTCGATATTTTGATAACATATTGACAAGTGAGTTGTGAAGAGAACGTAAGCAAGCCACTAAGGCAAATGGTTGTGAGTAGGCAAAGGTTTGGCAATTTGGAAAATGGTACATTTTAATTCTTCCCATCAGAAAGGACAAAGAAGCATGTTTTCTAAGTGGTGAAAGATTGTAAAGTTCTGAAACACAGTGGGATCTGGGTGTCCGAGTAGGTTAGTATGTTGGTAACAATTAGGAAAAGTTTATAAAGCATTATCACTTATTACAAGGCAAATTGAAAAATAGGGAGGACATGCTTCAGATACACAGGGTGGAGGTGAGACCACACCTGGAGTGCTGTGTGCAGTATTGGTCATTGTGTTTAAGGAAGGATGTCAGTGCATTGGAGATAGTTCAGAGAAGATTTATGAGACTAAAGCCTGGTATGAGTCGGTTATCACATGAGGAAAACTTTGACAGGCTAGACTTGTATGTGCTGGAGTTCAGCAGAGTAAGAGGCAATTTGATTAACATCATGAGGTGGCCTTGACAAGGTAAATGTGGATAGGATGTTTCCTCCTGTGGGTGAATGTAGTCACTCCAGGCTTGACCATTTAACATAGGGATGAGAATTTGTTGTCTTGCAGAGAATTGTGATTCTTTGGAACATTTCTGTAAAGTCGTGGAATAGGATGGCTAAGTAGACCAGTGCTCCTAAGCTAGCTTGAGAGTAAAGAGTTGGGATAAAATCCTGAAGAGGTTACTTGAACTTGAGCACATTAAAGCTCAGGAATATACAAGATCCAGGAAGAAGCTGAGTCACACGTAACTTAAACACACCCAGGTGCTGGTTACAGGATTCTGGTGTGAGTATTGTACAAGTGGTGTTTTGAGATCTGTTTTGTGTACAATACAAAAGCGGGGACCGCTTTGCAGAACACCTACGCTCGGTTCGCAATAAACAACTGCACCTCCCAGTCGCGAACCATTTCAACTCCCTGTCCCATTCCTCAGACAACATGTCCATCCTGGGCCTCCTGCAGTGCCACAACGATGCCACCCGAAGGTTGCAGGAACAGCAACTCATATTCCGCTTGGGAACCCTGCAGCCCAATGGTATCAATGTGGATTTCACAAGTTTCAAAATCTCCCCTCCCCCTACCGCATCCCAAAACCAGTCCAGCTCGTCCCTGCCTCCCCAACCTGTTCTTCCTCCCACCTATCCCCTCCTCCCACCTCAAGCCGCACCTCCATCTCCTACCGACTAACCTCATCCCGCCCCCTTGACCTGTCCGTCCTCCCTGGACTGACCTATTCCCTTCCTAACTCCCCACCTACACTCACCTTTACTGGCCCCATCCCCGCCTCTTCGACCTGTCTGTTTCCTCTCCACCTATCCTCTCCTCTATCCCTCTTCTATCCGCCTCCCACTCTCTCCCTATTTATTTCAAAACCCCCTTCCCCTCCCCCTTTTCTGATGAAGGGTCTAGGCCCGAAACGTCAGCCTCTCTGCTCCCATGATGCTGCTTGGCCTGCTGTGTTCATCCAGCCCTGCACCTTGTTGTCTCGGATTCTCCAGCATCTGCAGTTCCTACTATCTCTGTTTTATTCCTTTTCAGTTTATGAAGGAGTATTTTGGAATTAATGGGTCTGTGTTTTTACTGCATGTTTAAAGGACTTTGCATTTGTATTATAAATAGATGCTTTGAGTTATTGAATCTTTTCTTGATTTCTTTTGTTTGATAACTTCTGTTTTATTGTTGAAGTAAAGTTTGCAACGTTGTGCGTTTATGTTTCAATGACAGACCACTTTGCTAAAGCTAAAACAAATAAAGTAATGCTCTGTCAAGCCAGGTTCCCATCTGGGATCTGCCTTATTCGGTTATAACATCAGCTGGGATTATAAGGCAGTGTAACAATCCAAAGACAGAAAGGTCAAGGTGATACAAATTGAAGGGTAGAAATGACCAGGTCAGGGTCATTCTTGCAGACTTCTGTAAAACAGGCACCCAATCTGCATTTGGACTCCCCAAAATGTGTAAGCCACCACACAGTGAGCAGCGAATGCAGTATTAAAAAATTTCAAAAGAAGTATCAGAAAGTCACTACTTCATTTGCATGGAATGTTTGGGGCCATGGATCATGAGAAGGGAGAAGGGAAGAGTGCCATTGTTGCATTGCCTGTGCTGACCTGGAAATGTACTTTAGGAAAAGGAGGGCATATTAGTGCTGCCTGTATAATTGACCAAGGAGGTCACTGAGGGACTGTCACCTCAAAATGCTGAAAGAAAAGGGCAAGGGAAATGTATTTTGGAGGTGGCATCACACGAGAGATCATGAAAATTGCTAAATTATCAAAAATGATCTAATAATCAATTACAGAGATGAATTAATTCATCAACCTATTTTTCTTGAATTCTGTAATGGGATGGGGGTGTTGCTGGCTAGATCAACATTTATTGCCCATCCCTAATTGCGCTTGAGAAGCTGCCTCTTGAACTATTGCAGTCCATGTGCTGTACGTAGACCCACAATGCTGTTAGGGAAGGAATTCAAACCATTCTACCCTGTGACACTGAAAGATATACTTCCAAGTCAGGATGGTGAGTGGTTTGGAGGGCAACTTGCAGGCCAAATAGTTGCTGCCCTTGTCCTTCTTAGATGGGAATTGGCCATGGCTTTGGAAGGTGCTGTCTGAGGAGTCTTCGTGATTTTTTGCAGTTCACCGTGTAGGTAGTACTAAGCTGGTTAGTTTAGATGCATTACTTTAAAATAGTAAACAAATTATATGTTATAACGTGGATATTACAACAAACAGCTGATTTCTACGTGTGCATAGCTTGCAAACTCAGAGCAGACTAACTGCTAGGCAGAATCACAACATTGTATACACAGAGTACAATGATAAAGGTAAGTGCTGTTAAAGGCAAGGCACACATATGACAGAAATGTTGAAGGATGATCAGTTTAAAATGGAGGCTGATATGATGGGAGTTTAGGTCAAGGGGCCCCTATCATGGCTTTGTGAATGAGGGGAAAGGATATGAGTGGAAGTGTGAACAATAGACAAGGGTGGGTGGTCCTGTCAACCATGCTGAGTGGGAATGGGTGGAGGACAGAAGTGGGGTTGGGGTTCTGCAGAGCAATTGAAGTTGTCAAGTGTAGAAGAAGGAAGACATATCGGAAAGCTGTGCTATGGAAATTTGCATTGCGTGAATCATAGAATCGTACAGTCATGCAGCATGGAAACTGTCCCTTTAGTCCAACCAGTCCATGCCAACCATAATCCCAAACTAAACTAGTCCCACCTGCCTGGGCTTCGCCCATATCCCTCCAAACATTTCTTATTCATGTACTTATTCATATGTTTTTTAAATGTTGTAACTGTTCCAGCATCCACCACTTCCTTTGGAAGTTCAATCAGCACACGAACCACTCTCTGTGTAAAAAAGTTGCCCCTCATGTCTTTTTTAAATCTTTCTCCCCTCACCTTGAAAATATGTCCTCTTGTATTGAAATCCCCACCTGAGGGAAAAGACACCTGCCATTCACCTTATCTATACCCCTCATGATTTCATAAACTTCTATAAGGTCATCCCTCAACCTCTTACAGTCCAGTGGAAAAAAATATCAATGTAACAGAGATGAAGAAACAGGGAATAGAATGGAGTCCTTGCAGGAAGTGGAGTATGAGGAAGTGTAGTCAAGTTACTCTGTGAGGGTCCATGGTTTGTAGTGAATATTAATTGCGAGCCTATTCCCAGAAGTGGAGACAGAAGACCAGTAAAACTGGATTCACCATAGTTGCATTTTCTGTTAGAAAGAGAGCCAAGTGGTGGTAGTTTAACCTGAGCATCACCACGTCTCAGGCAAGGGGAGAGCTTGAGAAGGAAAATCCTTCATGCTAACCTTAGCTGGTGCAGTATTTAAACCCATGCTTCCAGTATTAGCTTCACATTGTAAAGCAGCCAACCAGCCAACTGAGCTAAGTGCAGTAGTGCCAGTGATGAGTCAGAGGTGGAAGCTGAAGGAAGAAAAGAAATTGGAAATAAAATCAATGAAATTTTCCATTCCAGGAAAATAGCAGGAAGTGGCTCAGATACAATTGGGAATGTAGCAACAAAAGAAGTGTGAGATGGAGATTGGGTGTATTTTGTTGGTGTAGGCCCTCATCCAATGAAGGAAATTGGGTTAGACTGTTGTACAGCTTCATTTTTATTATGTTTATTTTGAGAATATTGTTGCGCGGTAGAAACAGCTTAGTGCAAAGTTATGCATTTCAGATTGTAAGTGTGTGCTGCTTGTGGAGAGGGAAGATTGCATCGTAAATGGCATGAAATTCTCAAGCAAAGTACAGGAGTGATAAGGGTTTAAATGTGATTTGCAGAAAGAGCTCGTTGACTCACCTATTGTGAAGGATTCTTATTATTCATTACGGGCTGACAAAGAGAACAAAAAGATAAATTATAACCTCGCCAAACAAACGTAGGTCATTGTCAAAATGTTTATTCAATGAGTGTTGCAATGTATGGTTTGAGGCATAAGTTTGGGAATCATTACAATGGGGTGCATTTCAAATATAACCTGAATAGACAGATCAAAAAAACAGTCACATCACAACTAACTTGCTCGTGGTTTTGTTTCAGTCCTCTCTCAATAGAAATAGTTCAGTGTAACATGGATAAATTGAATCTAATAGAAATGTATGACAACAAAAGTGAATTAAACTGAAAACAAGCCACTTTATTGTGTAGATGTAAGGTTCTGATTTTTCTTTGCTCCCAGTGGGGAACCTCAAACACTGAGGATGTATAACCAGAGAATTAGGTGTGCATTGTACAAGTTTACTCGTAATTATGTTAACTGGTCAGAAAGTCAGTGCATTGGAA